ATCTTTCAAAACTAACCAAACCAATTCATACACTGGTTACCCTGAAGAAATCTTGCGTAAGTTCTCCAACCAATTCTCATATTATTTACTCTGAAGAAATGTTAGAAAAGCTGTCCAAAGTGTAATGAGAACACTTAAGAGTTACTGCGTCAGGCGTGTAAGTCTGATAGCTAAAAAAGACACGGAGTTTGACCTTCAAAAGAAGGAATTAAAACTTCCTTTTTGGTTAGATACAACTAAGGGATCTTTAAACATCATTTTGTTTGAGGACCGCGTTTAGATTATCATCGATAAGCTGATTATCAAACTTTCCGGCAAAACGTCAAGAAAAATGTCGCGAGATTGTAAATGTCATGGAAGATATAGCCGAACTTTAGTAAGGGCTGTTTAACTTTACAGAATAAATATGTACATCATTAAGGATATACGGAATATTCAATGTGTTTCTTAACAAAAAAACAACAAGTATTTAAAATAGTTCTTACAAATGAAACAACTAATACCAACATTAAATATAAGTTAATAGTGATACTAACATGAAAACCACATGTAACACCAGTAGTGGTACTGACATATACCTAACACGTAACCCAGTAGTGGTAGTGGCATATACCTAACACGTAACTCAGTAGTGATACAGATATATATATACATAACATGTAACATAGTAGTGGTACTGACATATACATAACATGTAACCCAGTAGTGGAACAGATATATACATAACATGTAACACAGTTGTGGTACTGACATATACATAACATGTAACCCAGTAGTGGTACTGACATATACATAACATGTAACCCAATAGTGGTACAGATATATACATAACATGTAACACAGTTGTGGTACTGACATATACATAACATGTAACCCAGTAGTGGTACAGATATATACATAACATGTAACTCAGTAGTGGTACTAATACTGACATAACATTTAACCCAGTAGTGGTACTAATACTGACATATACCTGATATGTAACCCAGTAATGATACTGATAAACACATAACATGTAACCCAGTAGTGGTATTAATACTGACATCTATATTGTCGCTAGGAAGATAGAAGCATGTTGTGAGAAACAATTCAAACCGTGTCAAGTCTACATAGGTGATGTGACATATTTTGTTAAGTTTACAACACTTGAGATATACCAGCAAGTAAAAGATATTAACTTTTGACGCAAATATAATATCTTGTTGGAAGATAAATTAAAGTTAGAGAAAACAAATGTTTGGTCCAAACGCCGGTGTGGATTTAATTCACTGTATAATATTACATATTGTAAATCTAGTCGAAGTTTTGTGTACAACTGTAAATCGTATACATTTAAACGTACTTGTTTTAACCCAACTGATCATTTTTAGCCGCCGCATAACGGCTCATAGAACGGCCTTGAGTCTTTTTATTTTCTCAAGTACAAACTGTTAAATCACAGCTCCATCATTTCTAGGCGATTTGAGATCTAATTACAGTTTTGGACTCGGGAGGTCAAGCCCTTTTGATGATGTATTTGACCACGCCCAAAGTATCATAGATTAATTTACTGTAATCCTGCCTAGAATAATTTCAATTTCAGTGTAGACTGGTAGATATCCTGATGAGTAATAAAATTGAATCGGGTTTATGCGCGTCCCACGCTTGGTATTACTGGCGCACAAGAATATAGCTAATATAAAGGAAAAAAGGTCGCATAGATTAATATACTCTAATCCTGTCTAAAAGTGTCGCGGCTATTGAGGATTTCCTCTTGTTTGACCTTGAAATATGAAGGTCATACAGAGTAATATAAGAAATAATACTAGAATACGACCAAAGTAGCCAAAACCTCCCGAGTATTTAATGATTTTACAAAATATAAAACACATTTACATGCGAGCGAACATTGCAAACACTTATTTATTTGCAAGTGAGTAAACTATGAATTTTTTGCCCTTTATTTATCATCAGTATTATTAATATGCATCATTTTTTACACCAAGTTCTCAACGTAAATAAGAGGGAACAGTGTTTTTAATATAAAGATATGAAGATCAAGACTGCTAATCGTTGTATGACACACAAACTATTACAACACGGCAAACAAAGGCAAAATCAGATAGTATCAACAACCTGGAAAATAATTGCACAAACTAACCCTAATAATCCATCCTCGAAACAACTCGAAATTCATTAGAATATTTATCAGAATTTAAGAAGAATATTAATATTATAACTACAGCAATTGAGAACTAAGTCTATGAAGGCTTAACTGTGTAAGCCAGATATATATTCTTCTTACTGTACTTGTGGCAAAGCTAATAAGGCTATTTTCAGTTTTAAACTACCGAACAGAAGGAAGTCAACCAGTTAACAGCACTCTACCACCTACCATCTACGCTAAATGATTAACTACTAGTTTTATATCGCAAAGTTGGGGTTATATTTTACACTTCCAACTCATCTACTGTTTATGAATGTGATGATTTACGCTTCCTACTCATGCACTATTCATGAATGTGACAATTTATGCTTCCTACTCATGCACTGTTTATGAATGTAATGATAACGCTTCCTACTCGTGCACAGTTTATGAATGTAACGATTTATGCTTCCTACTTATGCACTGTTTATGAATGTGACAATTTACGCTTCCTACTCATCTACTGTTTATGAATGTGATGATTTACGCTTCCTACTCATCTATTGTTTATTAAAGTTACAATTTACGTTTCCTACTCATGCACTGTTTATTAATGTGATGATTTACGCTTCCTACTCATCCACTGTTTATGAATGTGATGATTTACGCTTCCTACTCATGCACTGTTTCTGAATGAGATGATTTACGCTTCCTACTCATCCACTGTTTATGAATGAGATGATTTATGCTTCCTACTCATCCACTGTTTATGAATGAGATGGTTTACGCTTCCTACTCATCTATTGTTTATTAATGTGATGATTTACGCTTCGTACTCATGCACTGTTTATGAATGTGACAATTTACGCTTCGTACTCATGCACTGTTTATGAATGTGACAATTTACGCTTCCTACTCATGCACTGTTTATGAATGTGATGATTTACGCTTCCTACTCTTGCACTGTTTATGAATGTGACGAATTACGCTTCATACTCACATACTGTTTATGAATGAGATGATTTACGCTTCCTACTCATCCACTGTTTATGAATGAGATGATTTACGCTTCCTACTCATCCACTGTTTATGAATGAGATGATTTACGCTTCCTACTCATGCACTGTTTATGAATGTGATGATTTACGCTTCCTACTCATGCACTGTTTATGAATGTGATGATTTACGCTTCCTACTCATGCACTGTTTATGAATGTGATGATTTACGCTTACTACTCATGCACTGTTTATGAATGTGACAATTTACGCTTCCTACTCATCCACTGTTTATGAATGTGATGATTTACGCTTCCTACTCATGCACTGTTTATGAATGTGACAATTTACGCTTACTACTCATATACTGTTTATGAATGAGATGATTTACGCTTCCTACTCATGCACTGTTTATGAATGTGACAATTTACGCTTACTACTCATATACTGTTTATGAATGAGATGATTTACGCT